CCCCCCCCCGAGAAAAGGCCAGTATGAAAAGAATTAATATTCTTCTCAGAGATCAACACAAAACTATTCTGTAATTGGTCCTGAACCTACTCAGCCAGAACCAATTAGAATCGTTTTAGAAGAGAAAGTTTAACTTTCATCTGTTCAAAGAAGAAAGAGAAAAACAAGAAATAATAACACTAGGGAGGAGGCGATAGGGAGTTTGTACAAGATCCAATCTGTTATCAAAATTCAAAAGTTTCATCAATTTTTCTTAAAGACTGGGTTGACTATGAAATGTTTGCTAAATTCAAATTTTGGCCATTAATTTTGTCTTAATAACTCAATGTTGTGTTGCCCCAGTTCTAACTTTTAGTTCAGTTTTTAGCTTTGGGTTTTAAAGAAGTAATTTGCAAATTCACATCGATTTCCGCTGGAAAGCTTGCAACCTTTGGATCCGTGTGATTTATGTGTATTAAATATTTGTTTAGCTTCAGAATCTAAGAAACCATAACAAGAATTTGGAGAAGGAATATAAAAAAAGAAGAAATATATTACTGTAGAGAGAAAAAAATGAAAAACAGCTGATTACTTGCAACCAACATTAAATTTCAACTTCCTATATCTTTGCAACCAGATGGTGTAAACATTTAGTATTACAAACTTTGGCTAATTTATCTAACATAATTCATAGTTAGAAATATCAAAGATTGCAACTCACCGTTCACCTCAGCTATGAAGTAGGTTTTAAAAATAGAGACACCTGGGGTTTTTTTCAGTTTCTGATGGTAGACTTTGTTTAGACCTAGCATGTAGATTTTTAGAAATCCGTGTCGAGCCCTTTTTGAGAAAATTCCATTTAAACTTTGTTGTGTAGTTCAGACTGGAAAAAGGCGTTTGACTCAAAAGTTTTCATGAGTTTATTAGGCAATTCAAAGTGATTTGAGCTTTTCTGCATAATCATATGATAAATATATCAATGTAGAATTAACAAATAGTAGAAATCAACCATATTTATAATGTTTTATAGGGTTTGAACCTCAGATGATAAAAATTGAAGCACATTTTGATGTATAAATCTAGTTTTCTCCACTATTCGTCCATAAAGACTGAAATGTAAAAGGTTCAGAAACTTTTTATGAAATACCTTAAATACACTGAAATATTTTGTTAAGGGTTTAAATGTTTTAGAGGTCATTAACCAAGTAAAACCTTATTAAAGACAAAGTAGTTCTCAAAGATACAATGCGACACTCTCTGAGCCCTTAACAATGATAAATTTATCATATGATGTTTCGGGTTTCCTAATAATCTCACGAAAACTTTTCAGTCAGATGCTTTTTTTAGTCTAAACTACACAACAAAGTTTAAATGGAATTTTCTCAAAAAGAGCTCGACGGGGATTTCAAAAAATCTACAAACAAAGTCTACCTTCAGAAACTGAAAAAAACCTCAGGGTCTCTGTTTTTAAAACGTACTTCATAGCTGAGGTGAACGGTGAATTATAATCCTTAAAAGTTCTTTTATAGGATAAAACAGAACGGATGCAAAAGTGTATTTTCTCTTTAATACCTACCTCTGAATAGGGATGTGCATTAATTTGGGTCGTTTTTTGACTCTATTTTCTTTCAGAGTAAAAATTTGGTAAAGTGTAACACAGGCAAATGTTTTTAAAATGTCCATTCTTAACATTATGCCAAGTTTTTACACTGACAAGAGATATATGTCAAAAAAGAAACAAAAAAGAAAGTAATGATAGTTTTTGGATTTTTTAAGAATAAAAATATTGAAAACTTTAATAAAAGCAAACTTTAACAGAATACAGTAAGTTTTAAAATCTTCGAAGTTTTATTAAAAAAAACTAAAAAAAACTATTCACAACCTGTGAGTGGAAAACTATTCCTGAAGGTGTATGTGACACTATTCTTCCTTCTAGAATGTATTTTAGTAATGACAAGAATATCGTTGAATAGGAACACCTCTCGTTGATGCTGTCCTGGAAATAAAATAAATGAATTATCTTAGATGTTTTATCATCTGGACTATTGGTCATCTAGTATATTACTGTACTAGGTGTCTTATCATCTGGACTATTGTTCATCTAGTATATTACTGTACTAGGTGTCTTTTCATCTGGACTACGGTTCATCTAGTACATTACTGTCCTTTGTGCCTTATCATCTGGAATAAGTACATTACTGTCCTAGGTTTCTTATCATCTGAACTAAGGTTTCTCTAGCAACGAATGTACAAAATTGTTGACAGGATTTTATTCATCAATCCAACGATTAGAAAAATCAATTGTAAATTAATCTTTTTAATTTTTCCACGTTATAAAAATTAGTTTAAAAGTCAGGAAATATTACCACAGTATCATATTTTTACATGTTTATAAAGATTTATTTTAATTTAAAAAGAAAATGTTAAAGTAAAGTTTGGAAAAAAATAAAATTTCAAATTGGTTTTTCAATTTTTAATCTAAACAAAGTTTGCGGGTTCACATGGGGAAATTCTCCAAAACAAGAAGAATATATGAATATATCAGGGTTCGTCTACCCCTGATTTTCAGAATTGGAAAAAGTGGGCTGAGGGAGGAGTGATACAAGTTTTATACAGTGTGAACCAATGAACTGTGGAATAAATGCTCCTTCTTTTACTGACGAAATATCACTAAGAATTTCATAAAAACGAAAAAATAAATTCCCAAAAGCATAATTTTTTCTGTAACCAAATTTAAAATTGAACACGACTTCATAGAAAATATGTGTGAGGGGACTGACAATGAATACCAACTTAAAAAAATAATTTCTTATAAATTAGAAAAAAAATTTCAAGAGTAGAATCTATGTCAAGGTTAAACTTAATAAAATAACTAGTTTTACAAAAATTTTATCTAGTCAAACCACAAACTTCTTCAACTTCGTATATCTAAATTATTTTTTATTTCCTACATTTTCAATTTAAAAAAAAAAACATATTTAAAGCTATAAACTGAAAATTAAAAAAAAATAAAACTGAAAATTTAAAACATTAAAAACATTTAATAGGAGTTTTAGTTTTTATTTGGCAGATGAGTTGCGAGGGATGCAGTTAGATGTTTCAGGGCTAGAGAATTAATCTAAAGTTGAAAACTAACACAAAACGTGTTCTCGGAAAAACCACCATTTGTTAATTTTAATTACACGGAACTCTATCCAGCAGTCATATCAAAATTCCCAGTTTGGAAAGTTTAAATAAAACAAATTTGTCCCCAAAAAAGTTTTTCCTATAGATGGAAGAGGTGGAAGGTAGGATGAAGGGGGGAGGTTATATGTTTGCTATTGATTAAAGAGGTGGAAGGAAGGTACATGAAAACTAACTATACATTTATGTATATTGTACATGGTACATAAAAACTAACTATATATTTATGTACACGGTACATGAAGACTAACTATATATTTATATACACGGTAAATGAAAACTAACTACATATTTACTTACATGGTACATAAATACTAACTATATATTTATGTACACGGTACATGAAAACTAACTAAATATTTATGAACACAGTCTATGAAAACTAACTATATATTTATGCACACGGTACACGAAAACTAACTATATATTTATGTTCACAGTACACGAAAACTAACTAATTGTATATTTATGTACACGGTACATAAAAACTAACTACATATTTACTTTCAGTTTGTACTGTACCTAGCTCTATGGACAGGACTAGCCGGTTGCACCAAGGTTGACGGGGTCAGAATTTATGCTTCATATAGGTTGAATTTACTTTTACTAAAGGGGCAGATGTGCGTGTCCTTTCACAACAAATTAATAATAATATTTTAATCTATTCACTATTCATTGATCAAATACTTATTATTTGTTTAAAAATTGACCAACAGAATTTATTTCTGACACACATCCCAATTATTTGTTAATCTGGGGTGAAATGCTCAGGTTACTAAAGTAACAATATTCATTCAAGTCAACTGCTAAGATATGGCCGGCAATAGGTAACATACGTACACTTTTATATATATAAATCTAAAGCTCAGCTTCATCATCACTCCCCTAATTTTCGAAAACATTAAAGGGACTGTAAACATAATCTCATTCTCCATGCAATGATGGCAATGTCCGTTTCACAACGTTGCCATTACTTAAATAAATAAAACAGTCACCCATCAATCTGAAGAGAGGTTAGTGAAAGCCAACGTCATCGCACTACCTCCAAAGGAAGTAGTGGGTTGTCATTGGTGGTTCGCCACACTGAACCAAAGTGTGGACCACCAAGCATGGGTCAAGTTCAATGGCGTACTGCTGCAAACTTACCAGATGCATGAAGGTCCCTTCAGTACCTTCATGAAAATGATAAAATAAGAGTAATATTTTATATACAACAATACGGTTTACCTCAAAAGGTACCCTATCGTCCGTAAGCCTCCGAAGCTGACAGCAACGCCTCCAGAATAACTGCCATTTTCTGTCCCCTATCCAGTGACTCAGCTTTCATAATCTTGAACTTTAGCCTTTACGCCCGTACCACTGGACATGCTAGAATTACCTGGGACTCCATCAGCTTAACTCTGACTCCCATGTCTGTATAAAGATGACACCGCACATGTCTGGCGCCAAATCTATTTATGTAGCGATTCCCCAACTGAGCATTACCACCCCGCACCAGTCTTAGGGTCTTGCTGGCTTTACAGTCAGTTACATGTCTCTAAAGAAGTGAGCCACAATCCTCAAAAGGGTTTTCATGCCATTCTTGGGGGTCCTGGACAGCAGCAACAAAGAACAAGGCTGTAAGAATCATTTTGTCAAGAACCCCCCCCCTTGTATCTAGCGCTACCTCTATCGATGCAATGTACAAAGCAAATAACACCCTGCGTGAAGTAAACTGGATTCGAGAGCCCCTGGAACTAATTGATCCTCACACAGTCATTAAAATACATTGACTGGATCAGGCCCACCACCCGTCAAACAAACCCAATGTGGCGTAGCTTGTGTAAAGCAGCTCCCTGCAAACCGTATCATAAACCTTTGCATAAGCCTTTGCACAGAACGCCAAGGAGATGCAGCGTTTCTTTCTCTTGGCTGACCTTAGAGCGGACAAGATCTTTAATACACAATCTGTAGTGGACCTTGTCTGCCTGAACCCATACTGAACCAGGCCATAAAAACCTTCCCTTTCACAAATTTTGTTTATGCGTTTGTGTATGATTTTAGTCAAGATAACACTTGACTTAGCAGTTATCGGACGCTTTTTGGTGACGACAAGAAAAGGCTCCTGTTTGTCGATTAGGGTTATCTTCCCAACCTGGAGCGAACCCAGCACACTTCCCTCTGCTAGGGATTCATTTATTACGTTCGTTATCAGTGCTATCATATATAAGCTGGCCCCCTTCAAAATCGTTGAAAAGACATTATCCACGCCAGAAGCTCTATCTGACTTAAGGGACCTTATGACCTCCCCTTCATTTGTGGGGCAGCAAACCTTTTCCTAATTTATCTATTTCCTTCGGAATCCAACTTTCGTAGTCTGTAGTGCTCTTAACCAGCACTTCCTTCACCAATTGCTCCCCTCCTGTTGTGAAGATCTTGATGAATTGGACATAAAGGTTTACACCTTTGAAGACTCATTATTTTTAATTGGGCTTTCTCTACAAAAGTGACTTGCGGATTTCTACTGCAGGAAAACAAAGGAATTCAAACCTAGAACAATGTTTACCGGATACCGTGTCAATCGGACATTGCCTCTTTGCATGGAGGGTCACTTGAAATGACTTGAAATACAGTCCCTTTAAGAAATATGAAATTGTTTATTTAAATCCTACCGGATCAACGTCAGCTCCTCCATCTATCCCTCGCAGGTTCTTGATAAAATCCTCTGCCTTCATCCTCTTCTCCGGTTTGAGGCTGGGTGTGTGGAGGTCGGTGTTTAGGAGGATGATTGCGAAAGCAAGGATGAATATTGTGTCCGGGGAGTGGAGTTTACTGAAAACAGACAAAAATTAATTTTTTACCATCATATTTTTTTACTAGCTTTTCAGTAACACTTAAAACAAAAATTTAATTTGAAATAATAAAATTATTTTGAGGGTACCCATGGGTTCCCTCAAAAATATTCCGCCAATTCAGTCAACCGTTTAGCCAGCTATAGCTGACATATATAATTGATTGAAAAGCTTTATTAAACAGATTGAAACACCTGGCATTGTCCAGGTTTATATCAATTTCATAATAATATTTTCTTTAAATTTTTTTAGTCTATGTCACCCCCTCCCCCCCGAGTCTCCATGGTTCCCCTCAAAAAATATTAGCAAACTTGGCCAAGCCGTTTGATCAGCTATAATAAAAAATATATATATATATTATATATATGAGAAGAGCTTTATTCTATATATTTAGCAGGGGTAATTTTTTTTGAATATTTAGAAATAAGGAAGGACTGAGCCCTGAACAGCAAGTTTTTCTTTTATTTCTGGTATTTAAAAAAATTATTTTTACAACACCCTAATATTTTTTTCCCTTTTCCCCCCCAATTCAGCAATAACAGAATTTTTGAAGTTGGGGAAATCATTTTCAAAATATAAATAAATATCCCTGATATATTAAAAGCAGAAATGAAGGAGGTTGGGGTATACTTTTAAATAAAACGTACTCATGTCCCTGTGAATGTAAAACCTTATTGATTCAGTAATATATTCTGAAGCCATACATTACGTCTTAATTATCAAAACAAATATATCAAATTCAAGTAAATATTAGTAAATAAATATTTGCAAGGTCAGAATAAAATCTTAAAGGCGTAATTTTTTTAAAAATATATCTCAGAACACCAATAATATTCATTTTAAATTTTACAAATTGTTCTAATTTAAACAAGCTTAGAATTATCCTGCTTTATTACTGTTCTTTAAACTACATTAATATTTTTCATTCTATTTCTATTATTTTCACGCAGATATAATGATTAAGAGATCAGACATGGAAAATTATATTCACGTATATATTATGATTAAAGGGTGAGAAAGGGAATATTATATTCACGTATATATAATGATTAAAAGATCAGACAGGGAATATTATTTTCACGTAAATATAATGATTAAAAGATCAGACAGGGTTTTAACTTTCTTGACGAACACAGTGACAAAACTTAAGACTTTATGAAACCCAGTATCGGAAACCCGTGTTCGAATTTGATGAATTTGAGCCGCGTCTTAAATCCGCCAAAACCCGGTTTAAATTTAGCGCCGGCTTAAATCTTGAAACAATGAATACAATTTTAAGTGGAACCAACCATATTTGAGCCACGGCTTAAATTTAAGCCGCGGCTTAAATTCTTTAAATTCGGTCTCCGGTCTCAACTTTGTATATACCAACATTTATGCTCTCCTTTCATTTTCTTGCAATCTACTCAAGTTTATAAATATAAACCCCAAAACGAAACGGGAGTTTCATTGAACAAGACTCTCTTAAATTTCCGTGGCTGTATGTAGGCTAGCTATTAATAATTTATCTATGTTTAAAAACAGGAAGTTTATCTCATACACCCGTCAATTCTTAGATAAATGTCACTCAGTGTGTCATTTTTTATACGATCTGTCTGATTATTTAATTGAACTCACGATACATTGGAGATTCACAATTCAATCAATCAATCAATGGTGATTGATCTTAAACCCCGCCCCAGATTGGGAAATTAATACCACCCCTGGAAACTATATTAATTAAAAATCCCAATAAAAACTGTTTTAGTTAAATGACGAAAATAACTTTTTTCTCCCTCGTGTTTTGAGAAGCTAATCTTCTTCAATGTTAGTTTTCTCTCTTAAAATTTTCATTTGTTGACAAAACAAAACTAGTTTTTCAGAGCCTAAAGCATTGAGCAAGGTTCTATAAAAAATGTTTAAATGCTGGTTTACCTTGCAATATTAGGATTACAGGTGCAGTATCTTTGACTAAATACTTCCATCAATCTTTCGATCTTCTGCGCTTCTCCAGGCATTCTACACATTATATAATAATGATAATAATGATAAAAATGATAAAAAGGACAATAATGACAACAATGACAACAATGACAACAATGACAACAATGACAACAATGACAACCATGACAACCATGACAACCATGACAACCATGACAACCATGACAACCATGACAACCATGACAACAATGACAACAATGACAACAATGACAACAATGACAATAATGACAATAATGACAATAATGACAATAATGACAATAATGACAATAATGACAACCATGACAACCATGACAACAATGACAATAATGACAATAATGACAATAATGACAATAATGACAATAATGACAATAATGACAATAATGACAATAATGACAATAATGACTATAATGACAATACTAATAATAATGATAATAATAATAAATTCACAAATGACATTGATACCCCGTAGTTGAGGTTTAGAGACAATATTCCTAAAATGGCAAAATGCAGCGTGAAGTTAAAATGTCATGTATTTTAATATTACAGAGAGTAAACTCTTTTTAAATTGTCATTTTTATTAAACGGGTCCAACAAAATATTTGATTTATGATTTAATTCTATTAGCCGGTAATGCAAACTTCATTAGCTTTAAGTCTGTTTATTTAATTATACGCTCCAAAAAAAGTTAATGATGAGCATTGTGGCTAGAATTTTGTCAAAGAATAAATCCATATCAAAGAGGAGAACGTTAAAATTTCAAGGGACTTGAAATAAAAAGAGGGAAATATTATCAATAATATTGAAACTAATCAATTTTTAAAAATCAAAAATATGGTTAGCTCATTTAGTCTTGAAGCTTAAGGGCTTATAGGGGTACTGTTGTAAATCAGACATGCCACTCTGTAAACGGAGGGTTATTTGAAATTAAATCTACAGTCCCTTTAAGGTATATTTACCTGAAATATGTTTGGAACTTCCTGAGTGCTGAATCCACCTGTGTCCCGCTGAGGTCGACCTCGGCCGCGAAGCACGTGAGGACGGCCTGGTTGAAAGGATGGCTTATATTGCCCAGGTACTCTCCGATCATCTGCTTGGACAACCCCTTCCTGGTGACCAGGAACCGGGCCACGGCGGCGGGGGAGTTGTCCAAGAACCCCTTGTTGATGAGGTAGTTAATCCCCTTCTCCGGCTTCTTGTTAAATATATTGAGTCCGGTTCTATAATGACGTTTCCGGATGACCTCGTTGACTGCATAGTTACCCGGATATCCGTCCTTGCTCCGACTTGGAATTCCGTCCTGACCGCTCTGATCCAGGTTCCGGTCGGCGGCCGACCGGAAGTTCCGGTTTAGGTCACGCGGAGTATTTCTTGAGTCTGAGGGAGGGTTGGGGGAAGGATGGGCAGAGAATTGCTTTGGTTCAAGTTTAGACTGGAGAACGTCCAACCCACCAATCCTACAAGAAAATAGAATTATTATAGAGTTTAACAACTAAAACCTAATCCGTTGAAAAGAATTTCAAAACTAGAAAGCAAACTGAAATTGAAGAATTTAATAACTTTATTCTGTAAATATTGAAATGTTTTTAGCTGACAACAGATTAACCGATCTTTAATTAGTCTAGACTCCGATCTGTTGAAAAATGTGAGATTGGTAAATCTGTTGTGTTTGATTAAGCTTAGATGAAACGATAAATTAATCAATTCAAAGTCTCGGTTATAAAAACTGATCTATTTTATTACAAAATTTAAAGAAAGTAATATTCAAGTTCAAATAGTTTATCTTATTCGTTTTTTTAAAACCATTTACAGAAAGGTGTAAATTATTTTTAGACTATGTGTTTGTGTTCAATTAAGTTCTTTTCCGTGCATTTGGAAAAATTCAAAATATTTTTTGAGGAAATGCATTTGACAATATTACATATGTTTGAAGTTTAAAGAATTTTATATAAATTTTTCCGTTTGCAATATGTATCAAAGGGGGATTGTTCCCAATATTGAAATGTTTCAGGTATGCTGGGTATTTAGAATTGAACCTGAATCCAGTTTAGTTATTTAATAAAGATAAATAGATAATAAGATACAATAAAAGAAAAATGGAACAATTGATGGATAGAGAAAAGACAGATTGATGATAGGTAAAACGCAAAAGGAATGAACAAAAAAATGCTCATTTGTATTAAAGTGTGGGGAAAAACAAAGGAACTACAAATGAACATATTTTATTCCAAATGAACAAAAAAATGTTCAATCAAATTAAAATTTAAAATTTCACCATTTTTCACATTAAACATTACATATGAATATATTTAAGTGCAAATGAACAAAAAAATGTTCAATCGAACTAAAATTTAAAATTTCAGCATTTTGCCCATAAAAAATAATTATTTAAAGAAACAAAACAATAGTCCGTTTGAACAAATTTTTTGTTGGAAATGTTCTTTTGCACTAATGTTCAATTGCACTTATATCTAAAACAATAGTCAGTTCGAACAATTTTTTGTTGGAATTTTTTATTTGCACTAAAGTTTAATAGCACTAATATTTACGAAAAAAAATTTAGTCCGTTTGAACAAATTTTTTGTTGGAAATGTTAATTTGCACTAATAATTACAGAAGAAAAAAAAAACAAATATTTTAAGTATTCCAGATCAATTGCACTAATGATCATTTGTACTAAATATTCCTGATTCCTGGAGGGGGAAAATAAAATGGGGTTTACTACTCTCAATGATTACCTGAGACTGGACTGTGTAGAGCTGGACCTGGAGTGAAATTCACTATTCCTAATAATTACCTGGAATTGTGTAGAGCTGAACCTGGAGTAGGATTCACTACTCCAAATGATTACCTGGGAATGTGTAGAGCTGGACCTGGAGTAGGGTTCACTACTCCTAATGATTACCTGGGACTGGACTGTGTAGAGCTGGACCTGGAGTGAGGTTCGCTACTCCGAGCTGGATAAAGTTCACCGGACTCTCCAACATCAAGGCTGGTTAATCGGGATACAGTTCTCTTAGGTACATCAGGAGCTCTCTTTCTAGACCCAGATACTCTACACAAGCAATCAATTAATCAATCAACTGTATTCACCAAACCACAGCCAAAATGATTTACATAAAAATACTAAAACATTAACATTGCCCAAAAACGTGTATTTTTAAGTGGTTTGAAATAAATCCGTCACAGCAAAAAAGAGANGGGGGGGTTGAAAAACAATGGAAAGTGCATTTCTCACAAATAAAAATTAGACTGTTAATAAAAATTAGACTGTTAACTGAAGGACATTTGAGATGTTCTCCACAGAGAGCTAATTTAAAATTAATAAAAATATGAAAGGGGCAAACTTGGGGGAGGTGGAAGGGGTAGTTGATCATGATTATATTTTATTTGATGAAGGGGAATGGTATAAATATTTATTATTTATGTTATCATAATTATATAGAATGAAAAAAATATGATATGGCTGATGGTAATGGGGATTATTGGCTTTGTTTAATAATGATTCTTCTGCGAATTTTTCTGCCAATCTTTTCAGAAAAGAGTTTTCAAAGTTTGGATGAGTTAAAAAGACAGAAAGCGTGGTATCGGGTGACCCTCCGTGCAAATATCGCAAGGCCAGATTCACAACAGTACCTTTATAAGCTTTGTCTGATTACGAATGAATTATATATCAATCTTTATAATTTTGAAAACTGTTTATTTTCAATTGTGGTTTCTGTACACTGACTCAATCATTTCTACAGCAGTAAAACATTAGAATTATCAGAATGAAAAACTTTTAAACCTAAAAAACGACAATAACTTCCACAAAGGTTTCTAAGATACTGTTGTGAATCGGGCAATGTCATCTTTTCATGGAGGGTCACTTGAAATTACGCTTACAGTCCCTCTACAGTGTCAAAAGACCTTTTTATAATCGTTTCTCATAGAAAATATATACAGCTGAATTAAGAAAAAAGTTGAGGCACATATTTAGTTGAAACTATTTTTTTACCAACCTGTGAGAATGATGAGACGGTAAAGCCTGACCCGAACCACAGTTTGCACAGTGCGCGTGGCTCGGTCCTATTACCCGGCCTGCGCTCAGCTGACGCTGGACCAGAGCGCGGTTCATGCACGCTAGTGCGGCACGGTCCGGGAGATAATCCACAGGGAAGGATTGCATATCAGCGTCGGAGGATTCCTCATCCTCTAATGAGAGACCAGGACGCACTCCGATATGATTATGAGGTGTGTGCGCCCCCCAGTGACGGGTTGGACAAGAGTGGGTGTGGCAATCATGATGCTGCCCGCCCCCAGGTGGGGGAGTGCTGCTAATATGAGAATGGTTCAATGCACAGCTCGGGAGACGGTGACTGTTATCGAACTGATGTTGATGACGGAATTCTTCTATAGAACATTTAGTTGACGATGTACTAACTCTAGTTTCACTTTGATTGTACTGACTTACTTTAGTCAAACCTAAACATTTACGGAAATTAATAAATACAAAAAGATTTTTAATATATAAGTACAGGTTTAAACTGTATAAATCTAATCCCAATAAAAATAACTCAAGTTTTATTTCTCTCATTTAAATACTTGAGTAAAACTTGTACTAACATAATTAAAGCAGGATATTCAAAAAAAGAACGTGTAACAAAAAAGTTCTGGGAATTCTTAACTTCTTAAAAATTTAGTTTCCAACATTGTATACAACCAGTGCTTAGGATCCATTTAATTTTGATGCGGATCCGGATCCGCACATGAAAAAAATGGATTCCAGGTCATTTCTGTAAGACTTACTGAATTTTTTTGACAAAAAATAATTTTCAAATTTTTTTATTTTATTTTTTTCCGCTCATTTTTATCCTAAAACTTGATGAACCATCAGAAATAATTTTTTATAATCTTTTTTTCAAAAGTTCCGATTTGGGTTTAAGGAGTAAAAAAGTTTTTTTACAGTTTTTGGTTGATATTTTACTCCTTGGATCCGGATCCGTGGATCCGCATATTTTTGCAGGAAGCCAAAATCTTGCGGATCCAACAAATCCGGATCCTAAGCACTGTATACAACAGTGTACAACATTCTTCAATATTGTACAATATTGAACAATATTGTATAACATTGTACATGTACATAATTGTTAGATACTCTACATTCAATACTTTGTACACAGTAAACTGTACAGTGCATGATGTAAGTAAACTGTACCTGCATATGATGATTTTGCTGTGCTACTGTACACACAGCAGTCATGATGAAAATTCTGTTGAGTTCCATCCGTAGAATCATTAGCCGCGTCCTGCATCCGTCCGCCGTCCTGGGCCCCTCCCCCTCCGGACATACTGGCGAATCTCCGGCTAAGTCTGTTGGAGGTAATCGCCTTAAATTTCTTATCCATCGTGTACCGACGGTATGCCCTCTGAATTGTGTTTGCAGCGGAGTTTGCAGTGTTGGATCCGCCATATTTATTCGACAAAACTTCCATCTGCTTATCCAACAAATCCTGAGTAAAAATGGAAGTCTGACAATATTTTTATAAGTGGCACTCTGGTTATTGAGTGGCATGTTAGATTCACAACGGTACCCTTTAAAGCTTTTTCAGATCAAGAATCATGCGATGTATCATCTCTTTGAAAACAAATTAAATATTTTCAACAATTGCAGTTTTTACTTCAGAAACAATGAAGGTATTGGTCAGAATTAAACATTTTCAAACTAGAAAAACGACGGTATTTCCCACAGTATTGATAAGATTCAGACAAAGTTTAAGGGGTCCCATGTAAGTCGGGTCATTAAAAACTACGTCCACAGACCCTTTAATATACAAGAAACCATATTTGGGACAATATATTGATACTAGATATTGACACGAATCGGAATTAAATTTCAAGTTAGGAATTTGCAAATTCAGGTTGTTGAAAACTATTGCGCAATCAATATAAAAATTATTTATATCCATAAATATTTTTATAAAATTATGCATAAATAACAAAATTATAATATGTATCAGGGCAGGGCTTAGATATATTTTTTTTTACAAGAACGTCTGGTATGTTTTAATGTCTGTAAATACAGGGTTTTAGTAGAGCAAAAATCATAAGTATGCCAAAGAGTCTAACAAGTCGATTTTTAAAGATTCTTTAACAATACCTGACTCAACTCGTAGGGCTCTGACATTTGTGCCCGCGAAAGGCATTTTCTGCCCGGCTTTCCGCCGGGACTTTGCTCGCTGTACTTCCTCATGTCGGATGCACTACTTCCGGCCCGGTCAAAACTTGCCCTAAAACAAGATTTCACTTTGTTAAAACATCAATAAATAAGATTAAAATTATGATTAGAATTATTCTCAGGCTTCGCATTGAAGTAAAATATAAGATGATTTCTGATTATTATTTGGATAAAATGATACATATTAACAATTCAAATCATTTCAAGAATTTAAGAAATTCAAGAAAATCAATTTAAAAGTTTAGACTTTTTTCTTTAACCTTTTCCTCATCTTTGCTTTGGTTTTTTTTCAGCATTCTTGTTTTAGTTGCCTAACAAATCAGTTTCTTATTATTTTAGGGGGAGGGGGCAATTTTATGCCCCCCCCCATATCATTTTCATAGGACGGATTTTAAATTCGGATCCACATATAAATGGAAGGATCCTATAGAGCAGGGGAAGGCTAAGATTTCTTGACGACTTTTATGGAAAAAAAAAAAAAAAAAAACAGATTACAAGATTTTTTTTAAATCGACTTTTCAACCATAAACGCCGCTTTATGTTTAAATTTTTTAAAACAAAATCAGATTAAATAAATGAGTTAAACCAGTGGTCAGCTGTCAAATACAACTGTAAAGAATTTATGCGTGGGCAAAAAATAAACAACAAGAAGACATGGGAATAATAAGCAATAATGAAAAGGAGGAAAGGGGGTAACGGGATCGTACTAATGTTACTACTGTAAAATGTGTAAACAATGACAAGTTTAATTACAGTGTACTTATGGCAACTTTAATTACCGGTAAACGATTTAGGACAAATGAGACCGAGCCTAACCCCCAACCGGACCCCTTCTCCTTCCCTCTCTGCGAAAATGCATTATTAAAAGAAGCATACCTTTTCCGAGCATTAAGGCTAGGAGAGTATAGGGCCTTCCTAGCAGCCTCAATTTGACGAAGAGGTCCTTCAATATAGTTCTCTAGATTTAAATGATTCTCATCCGTCCCTGAACAATGAAAACAAAATAAAAGGACTGAAAGCGTAATTTTGTGTGAACCTCTATGCAAAGATAGCAATGCCCAATTCACAATGGTATCCTTGAAACCTTTCTCTGTTCAATAACGCGGAAGATATTGTAGTTTTTCTAGGTCTAGTCCCGTCTTTGATTCTAATCATTCCTGTAATGGTTTCCTGCATGTAAAGTCACTAAAGTAGAAAACTCTCTTTTTTTAAATTAAAAACATTTATACAAAATTCACATCAGACCATGATTTTAAGGGTTGTGAATCTGACTTTGCCAACTTTTCATGGAGTAACTTGAAACTACGCTTAGAGTTCCTTTAAACCCAATGTGCTTAAATTTGTCAGTGTTCCCCTAGAAGGGGGGGGGGGGGTAGGTGCGCTTTGTGGGGAAAACTGAAAAACACTAAAAACTTAACATACTGATGAAAAAAAAAAATTTAAGGGGAATGATCAAGTTAAAGTCATATCCTGTATTATATTTGAAGAATTTATTACATTAAAGTTTAGAAAATAAGAAACGTAAAATGTTACCCAAACAGTTGTCTCTTGAATAGGACTGACTTCTAAAATCTGCAGTCTGAACTTCCTAAATAACTCAAATCAAACCAGACTTTTAGGGACGCCCTACGACCACATAACCATTCTTGAAATGACTTTAGTAATACCATTTTTGCTGTTTATAAAACCCTTTATTTCTAATACACGTTCTATTTTATGCAGACTAAAAGTACGCGATATGCTTAACTCAAATAAGTAAATAATATAATACAAGAGTTTTAAGAATTTGATTAAAATTGTTCTCTTGGTAATCACCCATTTTCCACCAACTGTATAATTACACGGTTGTAGACGTTGAATTGGAGTTGACAGAGATTATATATAAAATAATGGAAGGGAGGGGTAGGTCCAAAAATTCTATATAGAATATAGTATATACTATATGAGATAAATAAAACTGACCGACTTAATTATAAAAAAAATACTAATACATGGTTACAAATGTTTTTCATTTTCAAAAACCACACAATTTCTCTTTTACCTACAGTTTACTATACATTAAAAAATAGTTATTTAATTATTTCAAAACTAATTGATGATTCTGCTCTAGAGAACGCGGGTCTGTCCTAGTATACGATTTTTAGACCCCCCCCCCCTCCTTCTCCTGTCAATTTTATACATGACCACTTTTTCTAC